GTTTCACCTCTTGCAGATTCAGGCCTCGGCAACTCCAGCGCTGCAGATTTCACCCTTTGCCCTCCACCCAAAGAAACCTGCACGGATCTGTCACAACGCCAGGATGACCGAACTCACGGAGAGGAAGCGGCGGGACTCTGATGAGCCCAGTACACCGGCCGCTCGGCGTGGGACGCACACAGACATGCTAGTGCTGTGTGTCCTCCTTGGAGGCGCGCATCCGACTCGAACTTATAGTATACCCATCTTGTAGTAGATCGCGTCCCGAGCGGTGTGGTCAGAACGCGCCCGCCACGCGGCATATGCTATAAGATTTCTCGGTGAGCGCGTCGCCCCCGCGGGGGCGACACACACATATAGTAGATTAGTATGGTGAGCGTTAGGGGGGGTCTGGCTCCAGACCTCTGCTTACTGCGACTGCTTGCGAGAGTGCTTCCTCTGGGGGAGACTCCACCCGCACCCGCTCGAAACGTGCGCCAAAAATAACCAGGATCTTCTCCATTCGGCTATACGCAAGAGTGACCCTGGGTAAGAGTGACCTTTGGTGCGCGACTTTTTGGGGGCCGCGGGGGGACCAAACCTGGGTGCGCAAGCAGCTGCCACTGCATCGTTTTCAGCCATCTGGGTACCCATCCGTGCCCGCACCAAAGGTCACTGGGGCGAAAGGTCACTCTTACGTCTAGTCGATCTATGAGGGAGAAGAGGGGGGGTGCGAGGGCCCGCGCCGATCGGCAAAACAATGCATCAAAAACGATCAGATGTTGGGGCGACGCCGACGGCGGTGTGGTGACCGAGCGGAGGCCTCGCAAACAGCGCGGCCGCTGCCCACATGAGCGGGGCGGCATGCCGGCCGGCGCCCACTCGTGCCGCTGGCGGCGGGCCCAGACACCACTCGCCCCTGATGCACGAGATCGAAAGGGCCCTGGGACACGCAAACAAATGCACACAAATAGCAGGATTACTCATATTTTCCAGTTTTTTTTGGTTGTTGTCTTCCCCCCAACTTTCCATATCTTCTCATAGTTTCCAGGGGATCGACGATTAATTGTGTTTGTGTGTGTTGTTTCCCCTCCTGATGGATGGACTCCGTCCAGGCAAGTGCGCGGTCAGATAGGCAGAATCCTGGCAGACAGCCCGTCAGCCGCCACTAGCTGGGTCACTTGCTGGTGCTTGGACTCTGAAGCCTCAGGTTGCAAAGCGGCCCCCAATTTGGCGGCCAGCTCGGCCAAGACATTCTCTCGGCGCCGAGGCAACTCATCGGGAGGATACGAAACCCGACCTCGAGACGGGCCCCTACCGCCCCGTCGGAGAGAGCGCCAGCTCCTCCCCCTCCTTCTCCTCCTCCTCCTCCTCTTCCTCCTCCAGGTGGCACGGATTAGGGCAAACTGCCAAGTCGAGCGGTGCTCAGCGACGCGCGCAGTTCCGCTGGGCCCAACGGCAGCGGCGGGGCGTGGTCGACGCAGGCTGCCTGCAGGCCCCCGTGCAGCACGCACCACGGCCTGCGCACACTGCCCGCGCGCGGTGGAGCAGTGGAGGTGCGGGCACGCCTGGGGCCGACCCGTGGCGGGCGAGACGGGCCGAGCCGCCTCCCTCCCTCCCTCCCTCCCTTTCTCCCTCCCTCCCTCCCTCCCTCCCTCCCTCCCCCTCCTCCTTCCCCACCTCCTCCTCCTCCTCCGCCTCCTCCTCCTCCTCCTCCTCCTTTCCTCCTACCTACCTACCTACCTACCTACCTACCTACCTACCTACCGACCTACCGACCTACCTACCTACCGACCTACCCACACCCGCCTCTCTGCCCTCGTACGCCCCCGACGCGAAGACGGGCCGCTCCCCACCGCCCCCCACTCTCGCTGGGGCTGCCCCCCCCCCCCCCCGCCGAGGCATGCTCGAAGCGGCGCGGTGCCGCGGGGCGTGAACAGATGGGAGAACCGAGAGGCATCCGTGCCGCTCTCTTGCATACACTTCTCGATTTGTGCGTGTCATCCTTGCGCAGGGGCCATGCTAATCTTCTCTGTTTCGTTCCAAGTTTAACGGATGATCCCGGAAGGGAATCCTGTCCATACCGCTCTCTTGGGGTGCGCTCTGACCAGGACTTCGAGGCGAATCCAGCGGCGGCGACGAGGGCCTCCCAGGAGGCCCAGGGCAGGGAACACGAGGCAGGGGTAATTAGCGGTATCGGTATAGGTGCAGTCGGGCCTAGGACAGAACAGTATCCTTCAAGAACATGAGACCCTCCGCGGCCAACACACTTAGACCATCCAAGGGTCACCCTCCTCAGGAAGCACAAAAACATCCAACACACACAGACACAGACACAGACACAGAGACAGAGACAGACACAGTTACAGCCACAGACACACGCACACACAAACACACACACACACACGAAACACATCAGGGGACCCTACCTGAACCGACCTCCATCTTATACTCATACCTCGGCTCGACTGTACCTTATTCGGCGGCGAGCCCGGGGGAAAGCGAAAAGAAAAACAACTTCTCAGAGGGCTCAGAAATCCCCGGGCCTTCCGAGAAGTGTTCACAGCCCTCCCCGAAGACGCAGAAAACTTCTCCGAAGGCGCGAGGGCTTCTGAGAAGTCCCGCCGCCTAGGCCTCCTCCTTCTCATTTCTCCCCCTCGTTCGCCGCCGATTTACAATCCAACAAACCCATGTTGACGGCAAGGTGGTCGAAGGCGCCACGGGCACCGTGTCACTCCGTGTTGGAACGAGGGAAGCCGCACCAACGTCGGGGAGCGCCTGTCGGAACCGCGACAGCGAGACAAAGGTCGGACGGGATCGCGTCGCAGCGCTGCTGTGGGAATGCTGGGACCTCGGGGGTGCACGTTCTGTTCGACCAGGAGCGGCCGCGCTGAGCCACGCGGGAGGGACACAAGAAGAGGGATGTGTCATCCTCTGTCCTTGATTCTCCTTGTTGACTTGACATGCTAGACCTGCAGGCTGCCTCCTCCACCAAGCAAAGGGAAGAAACAATTGGCATCATACCGGCATGCGCGTGCCTCTTTTGGGAAACATCCGCTAGCGCAAACAATGCCACAACGTCTTTACGGTATTCAAACGAGAGACGCAACATCTACCGTGGAACGGAACCGTAGAAGCACAGCATTCCCTGCGGTCGACGTCAGCGTGCAAATTCAAGCACTCTTGCGCTCTAAACCGACCGCGTGCCAGCGTATAAAAAGTACACATGCCATCGGCATGTCACAATGAGACGAAACAGTAGAACCCAACGGATCAGTTGCCCAACAATGTAACACGCAGGTTGCACGTGGCAGGTCTCGCAGAACCCCACATGCCACTAAACTTGGACTTGTCCATTTAGTTCTTTGTGTCCTTCTCCGCCATGCCTTCATTGAAGCTCCTAACCTCAATGAGGACAGACACTGGCAAATTAAACGTGAAACGTGGAGTGGCGATTCTCCGCTCACCCTGGCGGAGAGCTATGTACAACGAGGCCACCCGAGTGACGTGGACGATGTGCGGTACGTGAACATACCCTCGATGCTTCCTTCTCTCCTTGACTCCAGACGGGAATCGAATCGCTTCGTTGCCGCTATCTGGGGGCATTCGGAGGGCAGGCGGGAGCGGAGGCGACACCGCCGCCGCTTGCGTCCATTGCTGCTGGGTGTACCTCTTGCGTCACGTGCGGGTTTTTGCCGCTGCTTATTGCCGCTCTGCTCGCTGCTGCGTGTTGGGGCTGGCTGCCACGAGGAGGAGGAGGTCGGGTGGTCAGGAGGAAGGAGGAGGAGGAGGAGGAGGAGGAGGAGGAGGAGAAGGAAGAGCAGGATGAGGAGCAGGAGGAGGACTGCTGGCATGTCCTGCTGACTGCAGCTGTTCGCGGCCGGGGCCTCTCATTTCCAGCCTGTCGGGGGCTGGTGGGAAGCCTTAGAGCCTTCTGTCGGTGATTCAAAGATGGGGTCCTGAGGCATGGGATCCTGAGGATAGGTAAGGACCCAAAGGTGGATTTACGTCAACGGAAGCACCTCGTCCTGAGGACCCCATCCCTCAGGACCCCATCTTTGAACCGCCGATTCTGGGGGCGCCTTTGGGTCTCGTCTCGGAGCAGTCTGAACCGTTTCGGGATCCTCTGAGGGTCGTCCTGGACATTCTGCAGTCGGGGCTGATTGGAGAGGACACGCGAGAGGACACAAGCCCCTTCCGAGGGCCAGATTGCCACAGGGATGTCGAGGGCGTGGGTCGCGAAACATCTGACACCAGGGCACCCTTCATTCGACAGAGTCGACCTACTGATCAACCCCGACTGTTCTGGGCCCCTCGCGTCGTATTTGGTGGCCTGGGGTCTCTCAATGGGGGGGGCCTCTCGCGGGGCCCTCCGGCGTCCTGCGCCGCCCAGGGGGGCATCTCGGGGTCCTCTGGGGGCCCTGCGAGGAAGTCCTGGCGCCGCCAGTGGCCGCCGTGGGTCTCGGGCGGGCCGCGCGGGGCCCCTCGGGAGGTCCTTCACCTCGTGGCTCGCATTCGGCTTGGCGTCGGCTTGCCGTCCGCTTGCCTTCCAACCTGCCGAGGCGCCTCTCTCCAGAAGCCATCCAGCATTGGGATCGTGTCATGCTTCGACTGCTTACCGTCCACATAAGAGACATCGCGACTTCTACGAACTGGATCCATTACGACCTGCTTTCAGGGCAGAGGTAGGTCATTGTAGGAACTGGAACTGGAAAGTGCCATGGAATCGCCCTCACGGCCTTTCAGGGCCAGTTCTACGTTCTGGCGCACAGAAGCTGCTTGAAAGCGGCAAACCGTTCGCGATGACACTATCGGAACGCCAATCGCGAAATCGCTGGCGGATGGACTGGTGGCTGCACCGTAATTTAGGTAGCGCTCAATACAACCCTTTCGACCTCAGATGCTTGGGCGCACGTCGACACTTCACCTGTAGGCCCACGCAAATTGATTCATATAAATTATTGCTAGGAAGGGCCCGTGGCCCACCTATCGCAGCGCATGCACACCTGTCCAACACGCACTCAATGGAACATAGCTTTCAACGATGCTCGCGTCCGTGTGAGCTTCAGCTCTTCAAGCGCCATGCTCTCCATAAGCTGCTTTCTCGACTGGGCATCGTTCGTCCCGAGCAAGGTCAAGAACGGCTCGTAGAACCTCATGTCAAGCTGCGGACCGAGAGGACCTTGATGGCGGTTCTTGTTTGCCCAGCCATACAGTGGAGCCCAATCCACGATAAACCTTTCACAAGAAACACAGCCCTGGGACCTCAGGACGTCCCTTACCTTTTGGTGTGGGAACGTCACGCATTCCATAGCAGAACCGTCGGGCACCCTGGAGACAAGCATGGTGTCTCTTGGCATGGGTCCCCACTGTATGCTTGCCCGCCCCACCCTCTTCCTCTCTACAATCTGGCAATTTCCTCCACCCGCGAGTCCCAAACCAGTGGGGACAACTCGCTTCGCAAAAGCGGGCAACCGTTCCACAACATCCTCGCGCCCCCATCCTTAACAAGGCGACGCAATGAAAACACTTCAGCCCACACGTGGTCTTTCTCAAAGACGGGTCGCGAACAACTTTCAAAGATCAAAGATATTTCCCTCGCGTATCCTGAAACGGGTTAGCCAATCCATCCTTTTAAGGGGCATGGAACAAACCAGAAACCCGATGCGCAATCGGAAGATACGGGTTCGAGACATGTGCGGAACTGCCCCCAAATACGAAACAACAAAATCAGGTGCCCGTCGGGATCCATGTCATGCGTGCCAGATCGAATGCGGACAATTCCTGCCTTGATGACGCAGGCCCTGGATTTTGTCACACCGCTTGGACCAATCAACCTTGAACAAAGCTCCGCTCCTGGACCTCTGGGAAGACTGCCAAACCCACCTCTGCGCGCGTCATTCCCGCACATTGGCCGATGATCCTCAGAGCGTGTGTCCGCGCCAACGTGTGCCTGCCCACCAATGCCCTTCTAAGACGACGCAGCCTATGCAAGGAGGGCCGAACGGGGAACACACACACACAGACACACAGAAACACAGAAACACAGACACACAGACACACAGACACACAGATACGCATACACACAGACACACAGAAACGCAGACACACACACACACAAAACACACACACACGCGCACACACACAAACACACACAGACACGCACACACATTCACACACACAACACACAACGCAAACACACACACAACTCACTGCACCGACCTTGCAGACGTGCTGCAACGGAATGTTGCGTGGACTTCTGTCGACGCAAAACCCCCAAACGGCAATCGAAAGACGGAATTAATCTCACGTGGATTTTTTGGTAATATCCACTCCTGGCCACAAAATCCGCGCGAAATTCATCTCGACAAATTCTCCAGGACAATCCGGGACCATCCCACTGTTGTCCGAGCGGAAAATCGCTCTGCGATGCCGGCACCATGACACACTGAGGCACTGCGACAGTACCAGGGACGCATTCAGGGGGGAAGCGTTACCTTTATGGGGGCGGGGAGGGGGGCGGGAAGGTAGGGGGCATAACGCGCGGTATGGCTCAGAGGGTTTAACAAAAACTCTCCGAGGAGGGCCGCACGCGGTAAAGACACATCCGGGCAACGGATGTCCTGAGGAACATGGACCCGGGTCCTCTCTGTTTGGGGCACACCAGAGACATACTAATGCTAGTGACGTCACGATTCGCGCTGGCACCGTCTGGGATCCGCTCAGGGTACCAAATTCCCAGGTGGCGTCTGCGCAAATCGTGACGTCACTGGCGCCATCCCCCCTCCCCTCCCTGAAGCTTCGTTGTCGCCAGGGGGCCAAGCAAAACCCTTGGCTGGACCCCAGCGAATCATCTTCCCCACCACGGCACTCTGGGCGGCCCACCTTTGAGCCGCTTGATCTGGTTCAACAGCGGCTGCGGCAGCGTCTCCAGAGCGTCTCCGGCTGCCTTGTGCATCCGGCCCTGCTCCTGCTCCTGTGGGACGGAGAGGCGGGAGGGGCGGGGAAGGAGAAGGGACGGGAGAACACGTTCGGCCGTCGCCCCGTGGGCGCGAGCCACGGGGCTGCAAGCATCATCGACCAGCAGCCGTCCGTCGAGCTCCATCCGAAGCGCTGCCGATGCCGACGCGGCTTCACCGAAGCGTCGTCTCGGCAGAGGGCGGGCGGGCCAGGCCAGCGGTGGGTGAGGGCAGAAGGCGGGAGGGCTAAAGGGGGGGGGGAGGGAGGGGACGGAGCGAGGGCATGCCAGCGAGGATCGGGGATGAGCGGCAACCAGGCGGGACGACGTTGCACGACGAGGGAGGAGGAGATGGCTAGGCGCCGCTTGTCTGCCCTGCTCCCGCATTGCGCAGCCCCTGCGCTCACGTTCAGTTCTCGTGCCGCGGTAGGTCGCATACCTCGAGCGATGCCTGTCTGCAGCATATGGCGGTAAAGCCCACAACCATGACAGCAAGCGGACGCACTGTGAACACATGCCTACGTTGTTCATCAGATCGTGCTGCATACCGATACTCGGCAGTCCAGGTCCTCGCAAGTAAGCAACCACGAAACACTACATACACGCAACTCTCAGTGGAAACATATCCACGCGGGCTGATTTATTATATACGCTTGCATCAACACGTGAGCATTTTGGCATATTTAGTATATACGCGGGCTGACTCGCAAATCGGCGGGTCGGCATGCAATCAATAAACCGCACACCTGAACGCTGAAATACCGAGTAGCGCCACTGTGTGCGAATTACCGTGTATACACTTGGCTGCTCTACGTGCTTACGACATGACGCGCGCATGCGTGTACGCGCAAGCGTGTGTGCACGGCATGCGCACTGCAATCGAACGCATGTTGAACAATTATTCCAAGAACATTCCACAATTTACTTCCTGACCCGTCAATATCGACGACCATGCCACGACATGCCTAATTCCTGATTTACAACATGTCCGACCCCGATTTGGGGAACATCCTCCTTCCGAAATAAGAAGGGAGACCTACGGAAATCTGGTCAAACCTGTGAGAAACAAAACCTCAGCCGCTAATGTTACCAAAACTTGCCCTTCCCCACGCCTCTCTCTGGGGGCGGCCGGAGGCGAAGATTTACTCCGCGAGCGGGGATCCATGGCGCCTTGGGTGGAGGTGGGTGGGGATGAGGAGGGGGCCTGGACTCCGCTGGACGGTCCCCCCGCTGCTGTCGATGTTGTTAGACGGCTGTCCAACTTGAGCTCTCCAGGGCTCCGCGCAGGACCTTCCCGATGAGGCCCTCCAGGCTGCACCGACAGGAACCCAAGGGGAGAACCCGAGGAGGCATCCACCGGTGTCAACTGAATGAACATGTACAGGCTGGCCGAGAGGTCACGAAGACCCCCCCGAGGTTTCGAAATCACGCATGATTTCCTGAGCGAGGTGGGCTGGCACGGAACCGGCACTGGCAGGTACCCACTGATTCTGGGCTGATCATCACCTCTACCCTTCTCGCTGCAACACTTCCCTTCATCGACGCCCACACCAATCCTTCTGGATCCACGAGTTCACTGCGTCAGCCACTTGAGCCTGTGCTGATCGGCGCAATTCGCTGTGACGATCGCGGCACATACTTTACTACACGGCAAATCACATGGTACGTCTTGACTGTGTGTCGGCGCTGGAGCAGAGGTATCCCACTGTGTCATGCCAGGGCCCTTCAGGATGCACAACCTGGAGCTCTGCTTCTCGACGCTGCACCTCAAACCGAGACCGTGCCCGAGCCGAAAGCCAAACATGGAGCGTGTTCGGGCCCCTCTTCAAAGGGCCAAGATCCCCGAGTTCCAGACGCCCCTTGGGCCGTTCGCGCGACTTCCCTGAAAATCGCACGTCATTAAAGAACGTTGTGTGTTGCAATGCTCCTGGACCCCAAACGGGAAGCCGAACCGGCCCCCAAAGTCCTCAAGGACCAGAATGACAACCGAGTCCGCCAAGAGGCCCCGAGGAGGTCCCCAGAGGCCTCCAAGAAGCCGCAGGAGGCCTCAGAGAGGCACTAAGAGGCCTCCAATATGCCACCACGAGACATCTCAAGAGACTCCAAGAATACTTACTCTGGCCCCCACCCAAGGCACGGTGGCGGAATGGGACGAAACATACTATATTTGCCACCCCCTGTTGATTCATCACAGCGGTGCCTGGCGTACTAGACCCTACGGCTTTTGGTTTTGGTTCATTTCCAAAGAGGACTCCCCCTGGGGCTTCGGCAACAGCGCCAAGCACCCGAAAGGAGCCGAATTCGCACATCAGTTCTCCCAAGACGGCTCGAGATGGGCAGAAACCCATCATACCCGCCACCCTCTGTTGATATATCACGGGGGTGCCTGGCGTGCTAGACCATACACACATTCTTCTTTGGCTGTTTTTCCACAAGAGTTCCTCCTGCGGCTTCGGCCCCGCGCGCCCGACACACGCAAGGCTTGCCCAGAGGTGGTCGCCAACGTCTCTCCCGCTCCAGATGGCTCCAAGATGGCCCCCAAGACGGCCAAGATGGCCTCCAAGCTCCCCCAAGATGGTCCAAGATGGGCTCCACGACTGACCAAGAGCGTCCTAGCTGCCTTCAAGTCCGCCCAGTAAGCCTCCAAGACGGCCTAACATGGCCTTGAGAGGCCCCCAAGAGGCCTCGAAGACATCCCAAGAGGCCTCCAAGAGGTCCTCCAGGAGGGCCCGAAGAGGCACAAGTCATTGATTTTCAGGATGTTGCCCTTTGCTTCTTTTCGGCCTCCGACGGCCCGAGACGGCCCAAGAGGCCCCACACATCGACCCGAGATGGCCCCCAAAGCCTTTAAGTTGATCCCATGACGGCCCAAGAAGCCCCCAAGACGACCCCTGGGAGGGCCTCAAGACGGCCCCAAGAGGCCCCAAAGCTCGCCCAAGGTGGTCCAAGATGGCCTCCAAGACGGCCCAAGAGGGTCCACGATGCCTCCAAGTCCGCCCACTGAGCTTCCACAAGACGGCCCCCGAGCGTGGAAGCATGCCTGTTTTGACGTAGTAGGTCGAGCAAGTGGACGAGCACTCCGTTCCTATTCGGCTAAAGCCCAACAAGCATATCGGGGGGGGATAGCTGCTGCCACAGCTGGCAGCGGAGCGGCTTCCTCCCGCCGAGCGGCCCACGGGAGCCCCGGCGAGGCGCTGCGGCGGCGGTTCGCCCCCAAGCTCTCCCGCGCCCCTGGCGAGGACCCGTCTCCCGGGTCCGCCTGGCGTGGCATTCACGGTGCCCGAGGAGGGCGGCGGCGGCGGCTATGGTGCGTCGCTGGCGGTTCTCGCAGGAGCGACTCCGACGGCTGGGGCGGGGAATTCGTCTTTGGGAGGCCCGCCGACAACGGGGGTCACGGCTGAGCAGCTGGCAGAGCTGGTGAGGAAAGTAGTCCACGAGACTATAGGGGCACCGGCAGCGCCGGTGGCAGCGGCAGCCCCGAAGGTAGAGACAGCAGTAGAGGACAGCGAACACGACCCCTGGCATCAAGGCCACGACCCTTGGAAGAAGAACGTTGCCGGCGGCACCACTGGCGACCAGGCGGCAGCTCACGTGACAGATGCCAACCAAGGACGATCAGTTCAAGAAGTGGAAGGACGACTCGTGGCAAGAGTCCAACAGGTACGGTTGGTCTGGCGGCAATGACCATTCCTGGTAGAGAGAGAAGCCTGGCACCAGACCTCCTGGTCAAGCGGCGGCCGAGGGGATTTCTCAGACCCTCCCGCCTCGCTGGGGTGGAGCCATTATCGTCAGTGGCGGAGAGCACTACAACGCTGGGATACGAACACCGATGTGACGGTATGGCGCCGGTCAGAGGAGTTTCTCCAGCTCTTCGATTAGAATCTGCAGGCACGGTTCGAGGACATCAGCGAGATCGTGCCGACGAGCAGGGGCTGGATCGACGCCGTCCTACAGCGGATGGACATGCTGATCGGCGAGAGGGAAGGAGACGACCTCAGACGGGCAGGCCGCAAGGCCCCCTTCGAGGCCGTCAGGGAGCAGGAGGAGTCTCTCATCCAGTCCGTGAGCAGACGCGAGGCGCAGCTCACCGAGGCCGAGGGCAACGACACGTGGCTCTCGTCGACGCTCAGGGGCCTCCTGCAAGAGGATGGCGCTGGCCTCGCGGCTCAGGGAATGCAGGACCTGCGAACGCTCACTCAGGGACGGCCGGTCTACCAGAGCGTGGCCTGGGCCCTGCGCCAAATGGATGCGACAGGTTCTGAGCGGTTGCTTCCAGGTAGGGCGCCGGCTGGTTCGATGCTCGCTGCCGTTAGTGCTGCGGACGAGGGTCCGAGCCAGGCAAATCAGTCTCCTCTCTCCTCCTCCTACCCCAGGTCCGGTCGGAGGCTGAAGGTGGTTCCGAGGAGGAGGACGAGTCCGAGTCTGACGAAGACGACGGCGGCTCTGATGGCCGAGATTGAGGACCTCGACCTGTACGAGGATCAGATCGACAGCGCCCTGGCCATGATCGCGAGTCGCCCTCACAACCGGACGTGGAAGCAGAGCAAGGACATCAAACGGGCGGCCAGGAGGGACGGGGAGGACCACGGTGGCCGCGGAGAAAGGACGCCATGCGCACCAGCACGACGCCTCCCGGAGCAACGGCGATGCCGCGGACGAGGCCGAGGAGGTCGTGGAGACCGAGGCGACCGGGCCCCACAAAACGGCCCAGGCTCACCATCGGGCAGCAGGGGAGGACCACCAAGTGCCACACGTGTCACCAGAAGGGGCGGAGCCGCGAGTGCCCGAAGAACGATCCGGGCAAGCTTCACGCGGACCCGTCCCGAGGCCGACCGCCAGGAACTATCCGTCTCCTCGTTCATCGGATTCGATAGCCAAGAGGGCTCCAGCCACAGCGTGACCCGGGAGGTGATGGACGTCTGGCGGGGCCTACAGGAGGAGATCACGAAGGACAGCAACTTCGTGATTGCCAAGGCCATGCAGGCCCTGGTAGATTCAGGGGCGGGGAGCGACCTCGTGGGGGTTCACGCTCTCAACCGTGAGGCAGTAGCGCTGGCGGACCGCGGACTTCAGTACGTGGAGATTCCTGCCCAGTACCGCAAGCAACGCGCCGCCCACGGCATCGGCGGCGCCGCCAAGGTCATCAGTGCGGTGCTGTTTCCGCTGTGCCTGGGCGAGGTTCTCGGCATCATCGAGACCACCGTCTTGGCAGAGGACGTTCCACACATCCTGAGCGTGAATCTCTTGGACTTCCTAGGCTGCATTCTCGACCTGCTGGACAACAACATGCGCCTGGAGACTCTGAGCACGGACGCCCGCGTCACCAGGCTGAACTCAGGCCACCGCATGGCGGACATCGCGTGTCAGTTGAAACACCCTGTCTCAATTCCGAGCTCAATGCTCCAACGTTTTCCGTTTCTGAGGCCGGACTCGTTCGAGTTGGAGGCCGAGTCAAGGAGATGTCAGACATGGGCATCGTGCGGGATTTCACTCTCCTTTTCCTCTTCCTCTGCCTCATCATCCTAAAAGTTGGGTGGTCAACCACGGGTCGTACAGACACACGCTACTCATTCGGACTAACGACCAACAGTAGGAGAGCTTCGAGCTACTCGGTGGAGATCCTAGCGGCCTGGTGGGAACTCAAAAGGGGCCTCGTGCTTTCATTCCTCTGGGTCATCAGGTCGCAGGCTCAGACTGCCAGCCTAAAATCACGAGTCGGGGCCCTAGAAGTATTCGAGCAAACTAAGGTACCCATCGAGCCGAAGGAGACGGACCTCTTTGGGGCTCTAGAGATCCCGACGGTGACCACCTTCGTCCAGCTAGGACTCATCACAGTTGTCTGCGTGATCGTAGCCCATTTTGGCTCGATTCAGGAATCAGCTCGGCATTACACGTCAAGCACGTTAAGCTTTCCGACTCGTCACCCGAGTCAGCTCCACTGGGTCATGAGGCCCATCCCATCAGTCATCATATCGGCGATGGTCTTGGCCGCACCAGGAGCTGCGGCTCCGAGCAAGAATGCAAATGGGGAGCACACAGAGGACGTACGCGCCCAACTATGTACATGAACGCGGCCCCTCGATCCGCGAGACCCGCCGCGTGATACGACCATTGGCGCAATGCGTACTCTCGAAACCAGCGTGGATTCATGTACGTGCACGTCATTCTGCCGCTCCTGAGCAAAGCAGCCAGCGGCCCACGAGGCCACGCAGGCGGTGCTGCGGCGGCTTCGGCACACTCAGGGCATGGCCATGGCATGGAGGAAGACCATGACGTCGACCCGGGGGCAACGGCGAGCACGGCTCCAACGAGCACGTCGGGACCAATCGAGGAAGATGCTCCAGTCCCAACGCGGCAGCAGGCGGCAGCAGTACACGTCGGCCGGAAGAAGCGGGTTGGAAACATGAAGCAGGAAGGCGTTGGAAGTAGACTGGGCTTCCGCACGCCCCCTGAAGAGGAGGAGAGAAAGAACACCGCTGGACTCTTGAAGTAGGAAGGCACCTGAAGTAGATTAGGCTTTGGGCATCCAAAAACACCTACTTTCAATGACTGGCTTGTACCAGTCCTTCCGACGGCAGCGGGCCCTCGACGGCGC